CGCTAGTAATTCAATTTTGTGTATTCCCATGCATACAAGCACTGTGCGATCGGTATTCCCTGCCGTTCGTTTCAGGCAGTGTGACATGTGTCACGCAACAATGTCATCATTTAGCATAAGCCGTTGTCAATTTTAAACGATTTACAGTCTTTGGTAGCAAACCGGGGTATCAAAATGTAGCTAACAACATACCCAAAGGTCTATATACATGACGTTAAAGACAACAGATTCAAAATTATGACCCCTCCAATGAGTGTGGACTTTCTGTTTTTGCAGTTTTTAATATCCTTTGCAAGGTTATTATGAACTCTCATTCAATTGTTACGTAAGGCACAGTTTTCAGTTCAACTCCACCTTACTTTGCGATTGTATGCGGCCTCCTCCTCAAAATGGGTGTAGATGCTTTTCAGTGCGGCCGGGGTCAAAGGTCGCTCTAAGAAATTTGCCAGCTGTTCAATACTAGATCTGATATCCTGAAATGCAGGTATTGGAAAAAAAAAAGTTTATAATTAAAGTAAGTTTTTCAACCCTTCAGTCACTCCTCAAACCATCCCAGTAGGTATGGCTAAATAGATTCCTCAGGGAATTAACCCTAACAACCCCAACTCCATCTAAATCCATCCCCCCTTTTTGGTGGATTTTGGGGGACTTGGTCCAGAAGGCCTGGCGTGACTAAATATTGATGGAGTATGATGGACTTGGGCCTGAAGCAGTGTTAGGGGTATCCGAATGATTTTGCCTAGCTTCCTTTACTGCTATTGTGATAAAAGCATGAGAAGCAAGTCCATGAATGTCAACCAGTACGTCAGTGGTGGATTCCATTATGTCATGTTCAGTTTTGTATTGGACGTACAGTGATTGATGGATTTTGATGGAATTGGTCCAGTTCCCAGTAAAAAGACGCTCTGGGAGTCAGGGTTAATAAAGTAAAATGATGTAGTACAGGTGATATTGGAGTTAATTTCCAAAAACGGACTTGATCTACACACCTGACGAACATCTTCATATTTTAGGAAGAGCAAATTGTTGTCCTTTCGCTGTTCCCACCACTCCAACACATGTCTGAAGTAGGAACCATACCCCACTGAAAAATAAATATAAACAAATTTCAAACAACCAGCTCACTGACAACAACACAAAAATATAACACGGCTTGAGGGTGAGTAGTCATTAATATCTCCCAAGATATTGGAAGTTGACAAACTAGGCTGAGGAAACTAGTTTGTAACCTTCCAAAACTGAGGAGAGTTCATATCGACTATCCACCAGAGATAAAACCATGTTATATTTTGTTTTACAATACCTCGTACATGTTAGCAAAATGTTGTCAAGTTATACATCAGTTATCTCGGCATAACGTTGCTGTGTCTGTTTCGCCATATGTTTTTGTGTAAATAGGGTAGTGTTCACAGTGCACACTACACTATGAGGTATTAAATGCGACAAGCTCTAATAAAATGACTCCATGCTTGTGTGCTATGATAGACTGGCAGATACCTAAATGTGTGTCCTGTCCTTGAATTTGGCATAGCACAGGACCAAATATCGTAACTCGACGGACGATTAGCCATTAACTGAAAGTTGGCTGATTACAAATTAACCAGATTTTCAAAAGCAAATGTTTTCTTTATTTAGCAAATGTTTGTGTTTCAATGAAATTGGTCCCAGACTGGCAAAGAATGATGATCCATTTCAAATTGTTCTATTCTTTTACAACATTTCTTCGCACAGTCTTCAATTTTTCTGTAAGGCCTTCACATCCATGGTGCTCTGAGTCAAAAAACTGAAGGTGAATCCAAGCCTCACATTTATGTTGATGAAGCGATAGAAGAACTGATGGAAAGTGCCCTTGTAGTGCACCATGCGGACAGTGCGATGGAAGTCATAGAACGAGCACATTACGTCCTTGGGGTTCCTGGTAATGTAGATCACCTGGGCCAAAACACAACGTTTAGCAAATATTTTAAGAAACAGTTTAAATATTAAACGTTTAGCCATTCACAAAGGCTGATGCATGCTCATTATGTCGGCAGACCGGTGTGACTGACATGATAAATCAGCAATGGCAGTCATTAACTACGTGTGCCCCACATTTGATCAAGTATTGAAGTGCTTCAATAGTTTTGTAAATTAAAGAGGTTTGAAAATATTATTATTTGTGCTATGTAGGTTTAACTCAAAGGAAGATTGCCTTGAACGGTGAACCCAGGTCCCTTTTTTATAATTCGGGTTTTGTTTAAACGTTTGTGGAAAATTTGTAAACGGTTTTAGAATTGTTTTCATGAAAACTTTTAAATGTGTTAACGTCACATCCATACTTTGCGTACACATTCAAATGGCATGTCTATGTTCACAGCAGTTCATCCCCTTTCAATCAAATCATACCCGATTGAATAACTTCTCAGAAAAGAGGATGCCAATTGCCAATTTACAATGCGTTCTACACTGGCGCCTAGAGTGCGATACATCTGTGCTGTGTACATAACAAACCAGTTCATACTCAGCATGAAAGCAAACATGAAAGCGAATTAGTGACATCATAGCAAGTTTCTGCACTGCAAATTTGCAAAAGTTGGACGCACTTCAACTCCAACCAAATTCGCAGCGAGTGATCTGTGACGTCAAAGTCACGTTGCAATTCGCATTCGCATGAAGTACAAGTGTGAACTACCTTCTTTCGTTTACCTTGCATTCTTTGTTCCTGACGCCCTCTGGCAGCAGTCCGTAATGGCAGGTGGGACTTGATGTAACGGGGCGAGGGCAGCGTCTTCAGTAACTCCATCCCGGGGCTCGGGGCCTCCAGGAAGGGGATGGAATCCTCCACGGACTCCAGGCTCAGGTCTGTCGTGTTGAGATCTCCCCCCTCTAGGAGCAGATAGATCAGGTCCTGTAGCCACACCCCTGGGAAAGGAAACGTGTTTTACCCTTTAGTCAATGTAGCTCCCGAAACTGACCTGCCTATTTTTCCCTGTAGCGCCCAAAGCCACCTGATCACTCTATCCGGTTTGTAAGTGTCACACCATTTCAACTAACCATGCGCACAGCACACAGTGTAGAAACTGGAACCAATGGAACCGGAAGAAGTGCGAAGTGGCGTGGTTTAGCCAAAAGTAATCAGTGGTGCGCGCACGTGTTATGACGCAGTCGCTTACGAATCGGATGGTTTCATTCATTCTTCAGTGAACTAACACAATGTAGTACAGCTGATAATAATGGGTTAAAAATGACTAGGCAGCGAGTCTAGTAAAGCAGTCCCCAGACGAATAGACCATTATCATGTTGCCGGCAATCTTGATTTTTTCCCATTCAAATCAACGCAACCAAAGCGAGGCTGGAACACTACACTATGAGGTATTAAATGCGACAAGCTCTAATAAAATGACTCCATGCTTGTGTGCTATGATAGACTGGCAGATACCTAAATGTGTGTCCTGTCCGTGAATTTGGCATAGCACAGGACCAAATATCGTAACTCGACGGACGATTAGCCATTAACTGAAAGTTGGCTGATTACAAATTAACCAGATTTTCAAAAGCAGTCCCAGACGAATAGACCATTATCATGTTGCGGCAATCTTGATTTTTTCCCATTCAAATCAACGCAACCAAAGCGAGGCTGGAACACTACACTATGAGGTATTAAATGCGACAAGCTCTAATAAAATGACTCCATGCTTGTGTGCTATGATAGACTGGCAGATACCTAAAACCAAAGCGAGGCTGGAAGGGAAAATAGTCTGGTTGCTTTTTGCACAAAAACATTATCATTCAGTACTCTTATTGGATACAGGGAACATGACGCAAAGGAGGCAGCATGATAAAGGTCTGTTTGGTTTAAGGTGTCTACGTAGTTTACTACGAAGGTGAAAACTTATGCAAGTCTAATTCACAAGTGATGGTCAGTCAATCAGTGAGGTACATGTACAAAGAGGATTCTGTATGGCCGATGCAATACAGAGGTGGACACAGCTAAAGAGCAGAAAATGAATGAAATATTCCTATTTACACAAGAATAAGCATCACAATCACATACGTGGTACTACAATTTGCAAATATATGGACTTAGGTACATGTAGTCAGTTTGGTATCCAATTACGAGACCCAAAATAAATGTGCATGATACCCTTACAGAAATGCCTGCAAGCTTGCCTGCAACTAGTGCAAGCTTGCGTGCAAAGCTTGTAAGGTTTCAAATATGTAAATTAGGGCAAGGTGGCGGCAGGCAAACTCACCAGAATTTGTGCGGGTAAGATTGCTGGCAAGCTTGCAGACAAGATTGCAGGCAAGATTGCAAGCTGCAGGCTTGCTGGTGAGCAGGCCTGCAAGCTTGCCCTGATTTACATATTTGAAACCTTGCAAGCATGCTTACAAGCTTGTTTACATCTAGCTTGTAAGCATGCATGCAGGCAACTGATGCAAGCTTGTAGGCAAGCTTGTAGGCAAACTGCAAGCTTGCAGGCAATAATAATTAATAATAATAAACTTATATATCGCTAAATAATTAAAAACAGGCAAGACAAAAAACAAGATTGCAGGCAAGACAAAAACAAGATTGAAGGCAAGCCTGATGGGAGCTTATAATACAGTAACCTTATGGCCACTGCAATATGCTGCCTGGTTATGGCAATATGTTCTGTCTGTTTCTCAAAATGTATAGTATCCACTGAGCTGACACTTCAACAGGTTAGTTGTAAAATTGTATGCACCCAACTTAAGATTATGAGCAATTTTGTTGCTTCAAGCGGAAAACAATACACAACCAGCAAATGATCTGACCATGCATGATCTGACATACCTTTAATGTATTACTTTGTTATACACATGACACATGTACACAATAATCTATCACTTGAAAATAAAATAAACCAAAACAAATCATTACCACAAATACAGCACAATTCCAATCATGCATGGTACTCAACAACACGGATACACTTGTATGGATGGAGCAGGCGCTGCACAAAGACAATTACACATGTGCAACCATCGGGCCAAGCACAACCACATGGGGATCTGGAAATGGCATAAAAAATAAAAACCAGGGGGGGAAAAGGGTTATTTCTTGAAAACTTGATTCAATTAAGTGAAAGTTAGTTTGGGATTGACAGGTAAACAAACGCATTGTATTTGATTATGCCATCTCTGACCACCAAATTACGGAGGAAAGTCCAATATTTGTGCCACAATCATGGGGCTAAATATAAGCCAATCATGGTAGTAGGACATTTTTTCAGCTCTTGTGCCAGCACTTTCTCTGCTCAGTGCCATGCGGAGGGTATAAATCTACACAATGACATGCACACATGAGATAATATTACCATCTCCAACCAAGCAAACGTCCTAGCTAACGACATTGCCTGAACCGGTGACCCGAGTTCGAGACCTAGCCGTGCTGGACATTTTTAATATTGTTTTAATTCTTCCCGCTTTCCCAAAAGTATGAGTTTTCTTCCTTTATGTTTTAAATTGAATGGTATATCAGGGCACTACTCTCGACTCAAGAGTGCAGAACAATAACGTAAATGTTGTGTGCTTTCTTGTGATTTGCGCAATCATTAGAATGATTGTGCAACTGGATCCTTGCGCAATCTTCGAAAAAAAAATTCTTCCAAATTGAGCGCACATTCTTAAAAATGCGTAACAAGAGAAGCGATCTTTTCGATGCCGAGCACATCTGCTGCGCTTGGAGAGTCTAGCTGCATCCTTGTTCACTGATTCTTGGGCAGTACTTAGCTGGAGTTACCCAGCCCTAAATTGTATCATTGGGTTGTCATTTAACCCCAATGATAAAATTTAGGGCTGGGCAACCCAGCTAGGCAGAACTTAAATAATTAACCGTTGCAATGCACGGTCACTAGGGAAAAGTGTAACGCTGAAAAGTAGAGAGATGAAAGTAATAATAAAAACAAATATTGGGGAGAAATCATAAAAGAGACATAATAATTGATAGTGTGCTAGAAAGAATTATGATTATGATACTGTACAAAAACTTCCCATGCATGGGGGGCAGAAAGGAAACATAATAACAGCATTAATTTAATTCAAATTATCGTAATTAAACAAGTACAGAAGCATAGATCATTTTCTTTTCTCAATATATGAATATTTTCCCTAACCCCTAAAACATTAAAAAAAGGCCTAACATAAAAAATTATGCAGTGCAACGTTTATTATTATTGCGCAAATTCATAAATTGCGCACGTAATATTTCCATGCAGTCTTAAAGAATGAGTGCTCAATCTTAAAATTTGAGTGATCATTTCTTAGAATGCGCGCTCGTTTCTTAAGAATGCGCGCCCGCCCATTCTTAAGATTGCGCAAATTGCAAGAAAGCGCACAACAGACATGACAGAAACATGGTAAACATGGTAAATCATTAATCAGGAATCTTTTGACTTGGCCCTTCCGTACCTGCACGCGGATAACTCACAATCCACACGTCATCTTTTCTTACAGGGAAGGTGGCCACATCTTTTCCATCTTTCCTCTGCAAAAACAAACGGGGGTAACCTTACCCCGTCTACGACATAGTACTGCCTGATATCGTACTCCACGTCTATTGCCAACAACTTAGTGGGCGACGGGAGACGAAATCTGCGCCATCTTGCATGTCTTGTTTAGCGCTGTATTGGCGTTTTTTCAAAACTTGGCTTCGCTTCCAGTTAGGGATCTTCTCAGGGGTATTCTCTGTTTTAAGCCTTTTAAGCTTGAATCACACGGAAATACTGTACGTTTGAGCCTCATCAAGATTTCAATCATTTAATACCACACAGTGACTTGTTAATTCCCTAATTTGTGGGGAACTTGTGGCCCTTACACAAATTAACAGAAGCCCGAACTACAAAGGAAGCCGAAGTTTAAAAATCTTTATGAAGCTTAGGTTTGAGGGCGCCCTTTTCCGCCCAATCGGTAGAAAATAGGGAGAATGGCGCAAATTTACATCTGTCCTCACGTTGACAGGGGACATCATGATCAGCAGTTTCTTCTTTAGTTGTGCATTAAATTATCATCTGGAAAGATGAATCCCAAAAGCCAGTTATGAAAGGGGGGTATTATTATAATGTTGAATAAC